GAGGATGTTAAACGATCAGATGGCAATCCACCTGAACGGTTAATAAGACGTAAATATAAAGTAATAACGAGTGGAAATATAATCACTTCGTCCACAGTTCAAAAATCTATTGATCGCAAAAAATAAAATAAAAATGTTAATAAAATGTGGAATTTTCCAAATTTCTACTACTTGTTGATTTCCCATTTCTAATATTTTAGAAAATGTCATTAAGCGTTTAATTTTCTTTTTAAAATGGCTGCAATTTTTCAGTAAAGTAAAAGTTATCTTTGGAAAACATCGGAATTATACAAACGAATTTAAATATGGCAAAGTTGATAGTATACATTGCTTTTTTCATTTATTGCCAAGCTGCCAACCAAAATCAGGCACCTATGCCAAGAGCAGGAGGAGATATGCAACCTATGCAAGCAGGAGTAGGTATGCATCTCACCTCTTTTTATCGTTCTAATTTGCTCTTCAAAGAAATACACATTGCATTCTGCGTCATTCCAGGTATTTTATTTGAGATTTCTCGTAAAACAGCGTTAGATGGAAGAAGTAATTTCAATGGTAACTGCATTGGTTCGAATACCATTGATTTTTATTTTTGTTGTAGAGACAACGAGAGTTACTTCACTACTTTACTGCTTTGGCAGAAAAAATTGTGAAAAAGTGGAAGACACAATTTCTTATTGTTATGGGTTGATAAATTTAGGCGATAGTAACCATTCCAAATCTCAAAGGTCTCTCCTTGTTCAGTACTATCGTGGCATTAATTTCAGCTGCGGAGGTTATCACAGATTATAAAACAGATGAATTATGGGAAGATGGACGATTAATAGCGACAGCAAAAGTAGAAAAACGTATGTTCATTTCACACACAACTGATTAATTGACATTAATCGTCTTGAGAACTTTTATTTTATAATTTCGTTCGCTAGCTTCCTTCCGTAGAAAGGTTATAAATTTGCATATTTATTTCTACACAATGATTGCAGCAATAATGATAATTTTTGGCACAGCGGAACATGGAAGATCGTTTGTTTTGGAGGAGAAACCGTTTCTATTTGCGTGGAACTCTCTTGACCTGATAAAGTGAAGTCAGGAGAACTGTAAATGTGCAAGTGATGAAGATCAATGACCACAATTCATTTATTTGAATAGCCAAAGAGATTTGCGATACGAAATAATATCAAATTAGGAACGTGATTCATCAATTTATTAAGTGTTGTAAATATTTTTGCCGATTTTTCACAATAAAATATTACCAGATTTATCCTCAATATCATAAAAAACTTTTAGGATATTAAAATTCGGATCCATTTGAAAAGAAAAACCATTACCTATCTCTAGATACAATTCCTCTTCCAAATTTCTGCTTTTATTCCTCAATCTGTTGCTTGCAGATCAAAGATCTTTTAACATAGGAAAGGAAAAACATACTGAGGAATTAGGAAATGAACGATATGCACATACTAGAAGACAATATAATACATATTTGAGAGCTTATATCTATTACTAAATCTTTTGTTTCATTTAAAATCGGTACTTGTATACAAAACGTGATCTCTGCTATCCGAAAGACAATTTTAGTAGTCTGAAGTAAGATCGAGAATGTGTT